AGGAAATTGGATTTCTGGCATACTTTGGGGAATCCTATATTCATCATGTAGTAAGGAGTAAGAATCTATCTAGTCGATCCTTCCTCTTCTTCACAATTAAACACCTCAGCTTCAGCTGAGCACAAGGTCTCATAGTTATACTCATGAGTACACACACACACACACACACACACACACGCACACACGCACACACGCACGCACACACGCACGCACTCGCAGGCCCAGCCTACTTTCTTTTGAAGAACTGTATAGCCATAGGACTAAGTTCAAAGTCAGTGGAAGAAATCACAAACATGACTCAATCCCTTGCCCTTGACTTCTCTCTTTTCCTTCCTTGTTCTAGACAATAAACATGGAAGTGAGCCAGCCTCAGCAGTTCAGAACAAGACCACCAACTTGGGGTTGGCCAATCTTCAAACAGCACATTGGTAGAATTCATGGATCTCAGAAACTTGGGTGGGAAGAGTTGTAATTTTCCATTACCTATTGTTGAAATTCAGAATTTTCTTTACACAAATGATGGTAAACAACAGGCTACAAAAATAATCAGTGTAGGTGATAAATATTGTCATTAGAAATCAGATATTTTCTTATAACTTTTGGGGGGCAGTGCATCTAACAGATTTCAGGGTCTTGTGTCTTGTGTCAGTGGGCCACCACTCTACCACTGAGCTACATCTCCCTCTGCTTCTAATAAAATATCACTGATACATTCATGTCATGTTATAACTACATTGAATCATGAAAAAGTTGATGTTCATGACTATGCTGAATCTGAAGGACTTATTGAACACACCAATGTTCTTTAATAATAATCATTAATAAATCATATATTATCACATCACAAGTTTGTCTTTTAAGATTGTGGTCATTGCATTTTATTATCATTTCCTATGAGGTTTTTTATTCATTTAAAACCATTTACATGGACAGAGTGAATACATTTCTCCAGATAGCCCAATAGGGCCATGACATAAGATTCAAAGGTTCTACTTTAACAGATGGTGAGATATCAATAAAGAAAGCATATGGATTCCTAAATGGTATAAAGATGCTTATCAAACATGAATAGTTAACGTACTTTCAGATCATTTGAACAAGAGAGAAAAGATGTTTCTAATTAACATGAACCTCTATATCCTGAAAGTCTTTGTGTCCTAACATCTGAACCTAAGCCCTAACTGCAATGTCCTCTCTGAGTCCTGTGGTACTGTAGGAAGCAACAGACTCAGGAAAGGCCTCTGAAGGCTTCACAACTAAGAGGTTATAGTCTAAGTCCATATGATTTTCAGAAGACCTAAGGTCCCCAGGCAATAGGTTTAGTCAACACATTACCTAGCCCAGCCATCAGGAGTCCAGGTAACCCCGACTTGAAATGGAGCAGAACAATGTTCTCAACCATGCAAAACATACAAAACTCCATATTTGCTTGTCTAAAAAGAGACTCCTTCCTATTTACCTTGACTCCAGTTCTACCACCTAAATGCAACCATTTCCCTCTACTTCCCACCCCATGACAGAAATAATTATCTGCAATGATCAGAGGCATTTGAAACTAAAATCAGCTAAATGTTATCTGAAAACTTCATGGGGGTAGAGCCATCTCCACAACGTTTTTATAAACGTACCACAGGCAGGGAACACAAAATTCAGATTCTCATCTGGCTTTTGGAGGAAAGAGAGTCCTATGGCAGTGAGAGAAATGTTTATTTCTAAATGAATGATGAGGCATGACAGTGGTCCATTCGAGTGCTCAGCCTGCTGAGCCCACATGGAGAAGTGCTGAGTGCCCGGGGGATGGAAGAACAGAAGAGAATGGCTAGAAAGGGAAGGGAAGGAAAGATGATTGGCTAGATATAGGCAAAGTATGGAAAGGGTGAGGGCAGTGCTGGTAGCAGCATTGAAAGTTAAGAGAACAAACAAATGAAGATGTCCCTGGGCAGAGACATCATGTTGGAGCCGAAGACAATAGCTTTGAGATAAGTTTGAGATTGGATAGAAAACCCAACAGGGAATTCCCAAGAGGGCTGGAATGTTGATACAGATCAAAAGATCGAAGAAATTCACCAAGCTAGATAACTAAAAAGGAAAAAGGCAGAAGACCACCTGAGGTGTACTAGAAACACCTCCATTGAAGGAACAGAAAGGAGACAATTAAGAAATGATGAATAAATTTCAGAAACTTCAATATCATAGACAACATGGGAAGAACTAGCTATAAGCCAAATGCATGGTGAAATGAAAAATCAAAACCAAGAAGAGGCCAGTGGATTTGATGTTTTAAAGAGAGAGGGGGGAGGGAGGGAGGGAAGGAGAGAGAGAGAGAGAGAGAGAGAGAGAGAGAGAGAGAGAGAGAGAGGGAGGGAGTAGGGAGGAAGGAAGGGGAAGAGAGGGAGAAGGGAGGGAAGGGAAAAGAGAGGGGGGGAGGAGAAGAGAGAGAAAGAGAAAGAGGGAGAGAGAAGAGAGAGAGGAGCTTTTCAGAGAGGGTCTAACTATGTAGCCCTGGTTGACCTGGAACCCACTATATAGATCAGGCTGGCCTCCACCTCACAGAGATCTGTCTGCCTCTGCCTCCAAAGTTCTGGGATTAAAGGCATGGGCCACCACACCTGTCTAAGCTTTTCTTTAAATGTCGTTTCTGTTAAAATAATGGTGTAGGGGAAGGAGGAAGGAAGAAAATAGAAACATAGGACTGAGGAGAAATGCTTGGGTTTCAGGTGTTTCACACATTCTACGCTTTTCTTTTGGTTCTTAGAAACAGATCAGCTCCTCGGGCCATCAACAAACATATCAGACCCCAAGACAGGTAAGTAAAGAGAATTTTTAGCAATAGGACTCAATACAGAAGATTGAGTACTGTCCAGGTGAAGCAAACCCCTGGGCTGATTTTCATCTACCTTGACCTCTGTGACCTCTTTTTCTCTAGTCTCACAGCCCCAGGATTATACAATGGAGAATCTCATCAGGATGGGTGTGTCAATCTTGGTCCTTGTGCTTCTTGGTGTCCTGCTGTTTGAAGCTCAGTACAGTCAAAGACAGACCCAACATACAGCTGGGAGAGAAAGCAATGCTTCTTTCATTGTGACAGAGTCCTGGAATAAGTCCAAGGATCTCAGGTGATTTTGAAAGAAAAATCTGGGGGCTATAGTTAGTGGATAACCATTTTCAGAAAACATTCAGGGAGAAAATGTGATTTGAGTGTAGGGAAACACCTGGGCGCTGTGGTGGAAAGGTCTTCTATAGCCAATCATCTTGTTTTCTCTAAACCTTGATGTATACTTTAGCTGACAGTCTCTTCTCCTGCCTCCAATAATGGGGAAGGCATAATGCTGTCTCATCAGTCAGGTTTGGGTCCTAATCTTGTGTATCTTCTGCCTTCCCCCTTTTCCTTTATTAAATGCTACCATATTCCCACTTGCATCATGAGCGTTCATCTTCTCTACTGAAAACAAAGAAGCAAAAGTAATGTTCAAAAATCAGATTCCAAAATGCAAAACGAGATCCTCATGTAAGTGATGTCCCAGCATTGTCTCTTGAGCCCCCAGCTTGTACTGCATGTTATTTATGTAGCTTTCTTGAAATAGAAGACTTACAATCAACACACTTGCATTGGAAGGAACTCTCTGGTAGGGAAGCTATTGACATGGTTTTGAAAATATTTTTTTAATAATTTTTTTAATAATAATTTTTTTAATAATAATTAAAGAAGAGGTCATGAATTCTGGAGGGAGTCTGAGGAGGCATGAGAGGAATTGGAGAAAACTCAGGACCTCTAAAAGAACATTCTCTTAACCTCTGAGCCATCTCTCCAGCCCAGAGAGTAAATTTTTAAAAGGTTTATTTATTTATATTATCTGTATGAGGACACTGTTGTTGTCTTTAGACACACCAGAAGAGGGCATCAGATCAGATGTTTGTGAGCCACCATGTGGTTGCTGGGAATTGAACTCAGAACCTCTGGAAGAGCAGTCAGTACTCTTAACTGCTAAGCCACCTTCCAGCCTGAAACTGATATATTTTTTAATTTAAAATTTCAGTGTTTACCACATGCATTTATAGAAGCAGAAGGTATGTAAATGAGTCAAAATCTTGAACCACTTTGTTGTAAATTTTGATTAGTTCAATGAAGACATTCTTGAAAAATGATTAATTTTTTTGTGTTACCTGAATGCCACTTACAATTCTCCCTAATATGAGGGACTTTAATTTACTTCCTGGCCTTACTGCAATAATTAGGGCTTTACATAGAAACCTGAACATTCTACGGAAAGAAGAGATATTGCTGTCTTTTTTTCTGATTTAAAATTCAACTCATGAGACTTCTAGGTTTTCATTGTTATATATAATGTTAAATTTGGTCTAGTATATATCTTATTTAGATGGAAATTTTATCTGTTCCTAGTTCTCTGTGATTGTTAATTATGAATGTGTATGCGAAAGCCACAAATGCTATTTCTTTATCTACATGAATGCCTTCATCATTCATGTTTTCAGTTTTATTCCTTGTTAATGTAATGGATAGTATCAATTACATTATGAGTGATCCAGACTTAAAAGGTCGTGTAAATGCCTTGTACATGGCATACATATTGGAGCAAAGTTGATAATACATCTATGCACCACTAACAATAAAATATATTCTCACACGTGAGCATCTCATCATGTATAAGGTGCATGCTGACTGCTGTAATATCCTGTCTTAGTTAACGTTTATTTCTGTGATAAGGCATCAGGAGCAAAAGCACTGAGGGAGAAGAAAAGGTTATTTAATCTTACATATCTCAGGTCACTGTCCACCCTGAAAGGAAGGCAAGAACTAAAGCAGGACAGAACTGGAGGCTGGAACTGAAGCAAAACTCTTGGAGGAGTAATAATCATTGGCTACATTTTTCCCCATGTAGACCTGTCTAACAGCCATTAGTAACAATCACATCACAGATTAATACTATTTTGTCTGCAAATAGTAATACCTTGACTTATTATTTTTTTTTTGCCAATTTGTATTCCCTTGATCTCCTTTTGTTGTCTTATTGCTCTAGCTAGAACTTTGAGCACTATATTGAATAGATGCAGGGAGAGTGGGCATCCTTATCTTGTCCCCAATTTTAGTGGGATTGCTTCAAGTATGTCTCCATTTAATTTGATACTGGCTGTTGGTTTGCTGAATACTGCTTTTATTATGTTTAAGTATGGGCCTTAAATTCCTGATCTATCCAGTACTTTTAACATGAAGTGGTGTTGTATTTTGTCAAATGCTTTTTCATCATTTAGTCATATGATCATGTCATTTTTTTCCTTTGAGTTTGTTTATGTAGTGGATTACTTTAACGGATCTTCATATATTGAACCAACCTTGCATCCTTGGGATGAAGCCTACTTGATTGTGGTGAATGATGGTTTTGATGTGTTCTTAGATTCAGTTTGTGAGAATTTTATTGCATATTTTTGCATTGATATTCATAAGTGAAATTGGTCTGAAGGTTTCTTTTTTGGTTGGGTCTTTGTGTGGTTTAGGTATTAGAGTAATTGTGCCTTCATAGAATGAATTAGGTAGTGTACCTTCTGTTTCTATTTTATACAATAGTTTGAGGAGTGTTGGTATTAGCTCTTTTTTGAAGGTCTGGTAGAATTTTGCACTAAAGCCATATGACCCTGGGCTTTTTTTTTTTTTTTTGGTTAAGAGACTTTTAACAACTGCTGCTATTTCTTTAGGGGTTGTGAGACTGTTTAGATGGTTTACCTGATCCTGATTTAACTTTGGTACCTGGTATCTGTCTAGAAAATTGCCTATTTCATCCAGATTTTCCAATTTGGCTGAGTATGGGCTTTTGTAGTAGGATTTGATGATTTTTTAAAATTTCCTCGGTTTCTGTTGTTATGTCTCCCTTTTCATTTCTAATTTTATTAATTTGAATACTGTCTCTGTGCCCTCTAGTTAGTCTGGCTAAGGGTTTATTTATCTTGTTAATTTTCTCAAAGAACCAGCTGCTGGTTTTGTTGATTCTTTGTATAGTTTTTTTTTTGTTGTTGTTGTTTCTACTTGGTTGATTTCAGCCCTGAGTTTGATTATTTTCTGCCATCTATTCCTCTTGGGTGTATTTTGCTTCTTTTTCTTCTAGAGCTTTCAGGTGTGCTGTCAAGCTGCTAGTGTATGCTCTCTCCAGTTTCTTTTTCTAGGCACTTAGGGCTATGAGTTTTCCTCTTAGCACTGCTTTCATTGTGTTCCATAAGTTTTAGTATGATGTGCCTTCATTTTCATAAAATTCTAAAGTCTTTAATTTCTTCCATGATCAAGTTATCATTGAGTGTTGTTCAGCTTCCCTGTGTAGGTAACCTTTCTGTTGTTTTTGTTGTTATTGAAGACCAGCCTTAGCCCATGGTGATCTCGTAGGATGCATGGGATTATTTTAATCTTGTAATGATTGAGGCTTGTTTTGTGACTGATTATATGCTCATTTTTGGAGAAGGTACTTTGAGGTGCTAAGAAGAAGGCATGTTCTTTTGTTTTAGGGTGAAATATTCTGTAGATATCTATTAAATCCATTTGGTTCACAATCTCTATTCGTTTCACTGTGTCTCTGTTCAGTTTCTGTTTCAGTAACCTGTTCATTAGTGAGAGTGGGGTCTCCCACTATTATTGTGTGTGGTTCAATGTGTGTTTTGAACTCTAGTAAACTTTCTTTTATGAATTGGGTACCCTTGCATTTGGGGTATAGATGCTCAGTATTGAGACTTTCACTTGGTGTATTTTTCCTTTGATAAATATCAAGTGTCCTTCCCCATCTCACTTGATAACTTTTGGGTTAAAGTCTATTTTATTGGATATATTTTGTCTAGAAATTTCCTCCACCAAAGAAATTAACCCATTTCCTTTTAATTTGGTATCAGACAAATTTTTTTAGGACAGACAGAATAAAGACAGATAAATTTTTCAACTATCAAAGGGCTGGTCTCTATCCTAGTTACAGCTAAACTTCTTGATTCCCTCTGAATCTTCTGAGAGTCAGGTCTTGTTTGTCTGCTTTGGTCCTAGAACTGCTTTCCAGGTTACGCAAATGTGGCCTATTAAGTTTGCTCATGAAATCCAACTTATTATCCAATCCAGTGTCTCAGAGTCTTCCACATTTCTCTAAAACCCCAATATGGCCAGGTTCCTCACAACAACAGCCAATTCTCTGATACCAGCTTCTGTATTACTTTTCTGTTGCTCCAATAATACACCTTGACCGAGGCAACTTATAGGAGAGTTTATTTTGATTTATAGTTCCAAAGGGTTAGTTCCCATAATGACAGGGCAGACACAGTAGGCAGGCATGGTAGCTGGAGCAGGATGCTGAGAGTTCACCTCTTGAAACACACACACACACACACACACACACACACACACACAAACTGGAAATGGAAATGAAAATGGCTCAATTCTTTAAACTTTCAAAGTCTACCTCCAGTTGTTGGGAACCAGACATACCCAAGGTTTTCTCAGAGGCTCAGATGAAAGGACAAAGGAAATATTAGCTTTGTGTCCTTATACAGGAACAGACTTAGCAATGCTATTCTGGGGCTGTAGCCAATGTCTTAAAGAGTCAAAGTTGTAATTGATAAATGGGACCTCATGAAACTGCAAAGTTTTGTAAGGCAAATGACACTGTTAATAGGACAAATTGGCAGTCCACAAGTTGGAAAAGGATTTTCACCAACCCTACATCTGACAGAAGGCTAATGCCCAAAATTTACAAAGAACTCAAGAAGTTAGACATGAACAACTCAAATGACCCAATTAAAAATAGGCTACAGATCTAAACCGAGAATTCCCAGTAAAAAAAAATCTCGATGGCTGTGACACACTTAAACAAATTTTCAAAGTCCTTAGTCATTAGGGAAATGCAAATCAAAACAACACTCAGATTCCACCTCAGACCAGTCAGAATGGCTATGATCAGGTGACAGCAGATGCTGGGAAGGATGTGGCGAAAGAGAAACACTTCTTCATTGCTAGTGGGATTGCAAACTAGTACAACTACTTTGGAAATAAATCTGGCAGTTCCTGAGAAAACTGGAAATAGTTCTACCTGAAGACCCAGATATCCCACTACCTAAAAGATGCTCCAACATTTCACAAAGACATTTGCTCAACTATGTTCATAGCCCCTTTTTTTGTAGTAGCCAGAAACTGGGAACAACGTAGATATTCCTCAACTGAAGAGTAGATAAAAGGTAGCACAGCTACACCATGGTCAGGTATTAAAAACGAAGACATCACGAATTTTGCAGGTAAATGGATGGAATTTGAGAATATCATCCTGAGTGAGGTAATCCAGTCTTAAACAGACATTCATGATATGTACTCACTTATAAGTGGATATTAGCCATAAAATATAAGTACCATGTTACACTCCACAGACCCAAAGAAACTAAACAATTAGGAAGGCCCAAGCAAGGATGCTTGAATATCACTTAGAAGGAGGAATAAAATAGTCATAAGGAGCAGATGGAAGGAGGAAACTGGGAGAGAGGAGGAATGGGGGATTCAGGATCAGGTGTGGGAAGGACAGGAGAAATTGCTAGATGGCCATAAAAATGAATGGAAATCTGCAACTGATGGGGTTGAGGAGGCAGGGGTGTCTCCATGATGAGACATGACCTGGAACAAGGGAGATGTCCGAGAATCAATGAGGATGACCTTAGCAGTGACTTACTACACTGAGATATCCCCAGTGGGAATCTGAAAGAGGCCACCTCCTGTCCAGACAGGAACCTCAGTGGAGTGATAGAGACACCAACCCAACCACAAAACTTTTTGTCTACCCAAAATTTATTCTGTCTACAAGTACTGCAGGCATAGGAGAGGGAACAGAGACTGAGGGAATGGCCAACCAGTAACTGGCCCAACTTGAGACCATCCCATGGGCAAGCACTAACCCTTAGCACTATTAATGAAACTCTGTTATGCTTGCAGACAGGAGCATGTTGTCCTCTGAGAAGCTCCAGACAGAAGCTGACTCAGACAGATACAGACATCTACAGCCAATCAGTGGATGGAGATTGGGGATTCTTATGGAAGAATAGAAGGAAGGATTGTTGGCCCTGAAGGGGATGGGAATTCCACAGGAAGACAAAAAAGTCAACTAACCTGCAGCCTTGGGACTCTCAAGAGTCTGAATCACCAACCAAAGAGCATATACAGGCTGGATCTAGGCCTCCCTGTACATATGTAGCATAAGTGTAGCTTGACTTTCATGTGGTTCCTGAACAACTGGAGTGGAGGGCTATCACAATATCTGTTGCCTGTTTGTGGGATATGTTCTTCTAACTAGACTGCCTTGTCTGGCCTCAGTGAGAGAGGAAGCGCCTACCTCTCAGACACTTGAAGTGCCAGGTTTGGTGAGGATACCAGGTGGGGGGAGGGAGGGGGTGGACTACCCACCCAGAGGAGAAGGGCAGGAGGTATGGGGGAATGATTGTGGGAGGGGATGACTGGTAGTAGATCAGTAAGTGAGATGTAAAGTAAAAAAAAAAAATCATGAAATTGGGAGAGAGGGAGGAAGAGTCAATGTTGTAGTTTCTGGGGACTTGATTTCCTCCCAGGTCTGTGGTTATCAGTCCTAAAGCATCTGTGTTGGTGATATTTTGTGTTTGCTTTGCGAACATTGTCTGATTTAGCTTTCTGCTGACCTTGACTCATTTTCTCCCTACAAATAGTATATACTTGTAAAACACGGTTATCATAAATCATCAGCCATGCAGGAACTCCTGATCCAAGTGAGTGCTTTTTGCATTTATTTCTTGTCTTATTTATACCTCAATCCCCTTTCCTCCCACGGGATGCCTTACCATTCAGAACCCTTCCTCTGAGTTCTGGCCATCCAGTGACTTACTTCCTCCAAAGGCTAGATCCTCCTTAACTTCTCCAAACAGTGCCACCACCTGGAGATAAGTATTCAAAGTCTTTAGTCTATGGAGGACATATTCAAACTATCATATCCTCATTCTAACCTCCTTTCTAACTTGAGTATTCACCCAGCCGAGTCACTTTTCCATGCTCATGTCTTCCTCTTATCCTTTCTTCCTGAACTATGCTGACGGTTTCAAGGGGAGAGGAATTCATTGTCTTCAGTTGTGAACCCAAGGAACCCAGGCTTCAGCGGACAGTTCCAAACCAATAGTCACACAGATGATCATTGTTAAACTTAGTGGATCTCAAGGCCAAACAGCAGAGATAAACTGTTCTAAAGTGACCCAGATACCTGTGCTGAATATTTACCGTTCATTGAGGCTGAAGAATGAAGTGGAAAGAACAGAAGGGGCCTAGCAGCCTTGCAGCGAGCCTTTGGGCTTGAGGATAACTGTATACCTAACGAACTCAAGCAGAGGGCTTCACATGTACCTGTTTTTTTGTTTTTGTTTTTGTTTTTGTTTTTGTTTTTGTTTTGTTTTTTCGAGACAGGGTTTCTCTGTGTAGTCCTGGTTATCCTGGAACTCACTCTGTAGACCAGGCTGGCCTCGAACTCAGAAATCCGCTTGTCTCTGCCTCCCAAGTGTTGGGATTAAAGGCGTGCGCCACCACTGCCCGGCTCTCACATGTACCTGTTAATACACATGTACTCCATCATTCTATTAGATACTGTCTTAGTCACTGTTCTGTTGCTGTAAAAGGAGCCATTTAATTGAGACAGCTCATATAAAAGAAAGTATTTAACTGAGGGCTTAGCTATAGTTTCAGAGGTTTAGTCCATTATTATCATGGTGGGGCATACATGGCCCTGGACCAGTAGCTGAGAACTACATCCTGATCTGCAGGTTCAAAGAATGAGTGACTGAGTCTGGCATGGGGTTTTGAACCCTCAAAGCCCAGGCCTCAGTGACATACTTCCTTCAACAAGGCCACCCGCTAATTACTCTAACCTGAGCAGTGAGTTCCACTCCTTTGTGACTAAGCATTCAAATATACGAGCTTATGTGGGCTATTTTTAGTCAAACTACCACAGATATGCACACTGAAGCAGTGAGTCCAGGTCTGTAATACTGACTTCACTGGTTGGCATGGTGTCATATCTGAAAACATGTTCCTCCCCAGATCATTCTCTTACAAAGAGCAAAATTATCAATGTGTTGGCACACATGTCAGCCCCAAGTCCATATGATGATCTATCATGGTTAGAAATGTAGATTTAAAGTCACTGTCTACCCAGGAGGGCCTTAGGAAACATTGGTGGGCATGTGATCCAAATAAATACCATCTGATTTTTACAGCCTCATGAACTTCACAGGACCCTGATAATCACCATTTAAGATCTTCAGTCTCAGGGACTTCTCAAGGTATTGTACAATAGCACTGGAGATTTGTAGTTGCTAGGTGAGGGGTAGTAAATCCCTACTCAAAATATCCAAATACACATGTGCAGAGTGATGTAAGGTAGTCACACAAACAGAGAGCCCTCACTAATGACCAAGCACATAGATTTTTCCCAAAACTAAAGCCAGGTGAGGACAGAAAGACTTCTATTTCCCACCATGAGCATGACCCTGAGTAGTAACGAGAGTAGTTCTCAGTTGGTTGGGCACTGATTGAGACACAGGATTGCAGAGCTAAGCTAACAGAATCTATCCAGCTATGTGCTTAGTGACTGTGGTGTATGAAGAGTGGATTATGAAAGTGGTACCATGGGACAAGGATGATGGACCAGTATATACCCAAGTTCCTAGGGAATTGTTGCTGTTTGTCCTCCTCCTCCTCCTCCTCCTCCTCCTCCTCCTCCTCCTCCTCCTCTTCTTCTTCTTCTTCAAAATCAGAGACAATGTTGCTATTGCTGTGACTCAACATCTGACCCACTACAGAAGGCAGATTGGGTGCCATGTGATGAGACAAGCCACCTGGGGCAAATTCATTACATGTAGCTCATCCTACCAGTA